AGACATGAAAACGACATATAAAATACTGCACGGAATAGACAAGGTGGACAAAGACGGGATGTTCCAGAGAAGGGACACAGACACAAGAGGTCACAATTGGAAGTTGAAGACTCAGATGAATCAAAGGGATGTTAGGAAGTATTTCTTCAGTCATAGAGTAGTCAGGCCATGGAATAGCCTAGAAAGGGATGTAGTGGAGACAGGAACCATACATAGTTTTAAGGCGAGGAATGATAGAGCTCATGGGGCAGGGAGAGAGAGGACCTAGTAGCAATCCTGGGGGCCAGGAGCTGTGAATCGACCCCTGCAACCACAAATAGGTGAGTACACACACGTACTCATATACAACAGGCCTAGTGTCTAATCGACATGTAGCCTAGGATAAATGTAACACACACACACACACACACACACACACACACACACACACACACACACACACACACTCACACACTCACTCACACTCACTCACTCACTCACTCACTCACTCATCACACACACACGTACTCATATACAACAGGGCCTAGTGTCTAATCGACATGTGCCTAGGACAAAATGGTAACTAACACACACACACACACACGTACTCATATACAACAGGCCTAGTGTCTAATCGACATGTGCCTAGGACAAAATGGTAACTAATTAACACACACACACACACACACACACACACACACACACACACACATTATATTATATTACGCAGGGACAGCACTGTGAAAAATTTGAAAGTCACGAAAGCCCTTGGAATTGCACTATTTTTTCACAGTAGTTGTTCTGCATATTGTGATATCACCTGTTTACTGTGATTTTACTGCACAAACTATATATGGCCCAGTGGTTAAGAGCGCTGCGTGGGAATCATGTCCGTCCCAGAAGCAGTGTTGAGTCCTGCTGACTGCGATTCTCTCTCTCTCTCTCTCTATTGCAGAAAATAGAAGGATGTCCACAGGATGGTCTTCACTGGAGTGACTAAGTGAGGGAGGAAGAGACGGGGGTACAGGAAGTGCCCCAAAGGACAACAGTACCCAGAGCCAGAAGGATGAATATTATAGCAATAGAAAAATCCCACAAGAATTGATATTGTAATAGCCTAAATGAAATTAACGTGGCAATAATAAAAATTCAGTCATATTCCGCGATGACATCAATAGCTATATACATAAATATATTGTCAGTGACATGAAGTCACTGGCAATTATAAGGTAGTCTCCCACGGGACAACGTATCCCTTTAAAATGACGAAAAAAAAAAGATAACAAACCAAACCACGGGCGGGGATAGAACCCGCGATCAGAGAGTCTCAAAACTCCATTTAGAGGTGGGACTTCTAAAAGCTGCGTAAGGCTACAGGGCTCATTAAAATAAAACTCATTTAACTA